ATTTCACTTCCTTGGTCAAATTTATTCCTAAGTATTTTATTCTTTTTGATGCTGTTTCAAATGGGATATTTTTCCCCTTAAATTCTTTTTCAGGTAATTCATTATTACTATATAGAAACACAACTGATTTTTGTATGTTGGGTTTATGTTCTGCAACTTTGCCAATTTTTAAAAACACAAAAATTAGCCGGGTGTGGTGGTGGGAGCCTGTAGTCCCAGCTACTCAGGAGGCTGAGGCAGGAGAATGGTGTGAACCTGGGAGGTGGAGCTTGCAGTGAGCTGAGACTGCACCACTAGACTCCAGCCTGGGCAACAGAACAAAGACTCCGTCTCAAAAAAAAAAAAAAAAAAAAAAAATTGCAACTTTACCCAAAAAAAGTATTATTATTTTTTTTTGGTTGGTATGGGTTTACTACATATAAGATCATCTGCAAACAGAAACATTTTTAAATTTCTTCCTTTCCAATTTGGGTGACTTATTTTCTAATTGCTCTATTTAGGATTCAGTACCAAGTTGATTAGAAATATTAAGAGTGGGCATTCTTGTCTTCCTTGTGATCTTAAAGGAAAATATTTCAGCTTTTCACCACTGAGTATGATGTTTGCTGTAGGCTTGTCATGTATGGCTTTTATTATGTTGATAGTGTTTGTTATGTTTATTACATGCCTTCTCTGCCTAATTTGTTGAAAGTTTTTAACATGAAATGTTGATTTTGTCAAATGCTCTTTCTGTATCTATTGAGATGATGTGATTTTTTTAAACTTCATTCAGTGAATGTGGTGTATCACATTTATTGATTTGCATATGTTTAACCACCCTTGCATCCTACAGTTAAATCCCACTTAATCATGGGGGAAGATTCTTTTAACATGCTATTGAATTCAGTTTGCAAGTTAGTATTTTGTCAAGGAATTTTTGCATCTATGCTCATCAAGAATATTGGTCTGTGTCTTTTCTTGTGGTGTCCTTTTCTGGCTTTGTATCAGGGTAATGCTGGCCTCATAAAAGAAGTTTGGAATCGTTCCCTCTTAAATTTTTGGGAGATCTGAAAAGAATTGGTATTGATTCTTTAAATGTTTGGTAAAATTGACCAGTGAAACCTTCTGGTCCTAGGCTTTTGTTTGCTGGGAGATTTTGATTATTGATCCAATTTCCTTGCTTATTATTGGTCTGTTCAGAATTCCTATTTCTGCATGATTCAGTCTTGGTAGGATTGTATGTTTCTTGAAATCAGTCAATTTTTCTTGCTTATCCAATTTAAGTGTGTTTGTGTCTTATGATCGTCTGATCTTTTTTTTTTTTTTTGAGATGGAGTCTCACTTTGCCACCTAGGCTGGAGTGCGGTGGCCTGATCTTGGCTCACTGCAACCTCCGCCTCCTGGGTTCAAGCGATTCTCCTGCCTCAGACTCCTGAGTAGTTGGAATTACAGGTGCCCACCACCACACCCAGCTAATTTTTGTATTTTTAGTAGATAGGGGTTTCACCATGTGACCAGGCTGATCTTGAACTCCTGACCTCAAATTATCTGCTTGCCTCGGCCTCCCAAAGTGCTGGGATTACAGGCATGAGCCACTGCACCTGGCCGATCCTTTGATTTTTTGTGTTATCAGTTGTAATGTGTCCTCTTTCATTTCTGATTTTGAGTCTTTTTTTTTCCCTTAACCAGCTGAAGATTTTTTTTCATGTTGTTTTTCTTTTCAAAAAACCATCTCTTAGTTTGTCCATGTTCTAGTTTCGTGAGGCATAATATTAGGTTGTTCATTTGAGATTTTTTCTTTTTTTTTTTTTTTTTTTTTTTTGAGACGGAGTCTCGCTGTGTCTCCCAGGCTGGAGTGCAGTGGCGTGATCTTGGCTCACTGCAAGCTCCGCCTCCCGGGTTCACGCCATTCTCCGGCCTCAGCCTCCCAAGTAGCTGAGACTACAGGCGGCCGCCACCACGCCCGGCTAGTTTTTTGTATTTTTAGTAGAGACGGGGTTTCACCATGTTAGCCAGGATAGTCTCGATCTCCTGACCTCGTGATCCACCTGCCTCGGCCTCCCAAAGTGCTGGGATTACAGGCTTGAGCCACCGCGCCCGGCCGAGATTTTTTCTTAACGTAAGCATTTATTGCTACAAAATTCCCTCTTAGAACTGCTGTCTCCCTTAAGTTTTGATATACGGTGTTGTGCTTCTCTTAGGTTTTGATATGTTGCATTTTTGTTTCTCAATTTTTTTTTTTTAAATTTCCCATTTGCTTTTCTCTTTGGCCCAGTGGTCATTCAGGAATGTGTTTATTTCCATGTATTTGTGAATTTTCCAGTTGTACTCCTGTTAGGATTTCTAGTTTCACTGTTAGAAAAGATACTTGATATGGTTTCAATCTTGTTAAGGCTTGTTTTGTGGCTTAATATATGACCTATCCTGGAGAATGTTCCTTATGTGTTTAAGAATGTATATCCTGGCCAGGCGTGGTGACTCAGTCTGTAATCCCAGCACTTTGGGAGGCCGAGGTGGGTGGATCACCTGAGGTCAGGAGTTCGAGACCAGTGTAACCAACAGGGTGAAACCCCATCTCTACTAAAAGTACAATACAAAATTAGCTGGGCATGGTGGCGCATGCCTGTAATTCCAGCAACTTGGGAGGCTGAGGCAGGAGAATCACTTGAATTGGGGAGGCGGAGGTTCCAGTGAGTCAAGATTGCGCCATTGCACTCCAGCCTGGGCAACAAGAGCGAAACTCCCCCCACCCCCCGCAAAAAAAAAGAGAATGTATATCCTGCTCCTGCTGCGTAGAATGTTCAGTATATGTCTATTAATTAGGTTTATCTAATCTAAAGTGTAATTCAGGTCCGGTGATTTGTTACTGATTTTCTGTTTGGATATCTATCCACTGTTAAAAGTTACTAAGAAAATAAACACTTAAAAAAAACCAAAAGAATTAAAATGGTACACTATAAAGGTGGTAAAAAAGTAATAGAGGAACAACAACAAAAAGACATGAGGCATATAGAATATAAATACCACAGCTGGGTGTGGTGGCTTATGCCTATAATCCCAGCACTTTGGGAGAGCAAGGTGGGTGGATCACTTGAAGCCAAGAGTTAGAGACCAGCCTGGCTAACACACAAAAGCCATCTGTATTAAAAATTCAGAAATTAGTCAGGCATGGTGGCATGCACCTGTAGTCCCAGCTACTTGGGAGGCTGAGATGGGAGGATTGCTTGAGCCTGAGAAGTCAAGGCTTCAGTGAGTTCTGATCATACCACTGCACTCCCGCGTGGGCAACAGAGTGAGACTCTGTCTCTCAAAAAAAAAAAAAAAAAAAAAAGAAATGAAAATGGCAAACAGAAATCTCACCATATCAATAATTACATGAGATGAGAGTGGATTAAACACTCCATTCATAAGTTCAAAAGGTAAAGATGGTTGGGTGTGATGGTTCACACCCGTAATTCCAACAGTTTGAGCAGCCAAGGTGGGAGGATCACTTGAGCCCAGGAGTTCCAGACCAGCCTGGGCAACAGTGAGACCCTGCCTCTATTTTTTTTAAAAAAGGTAGAGATTACAGCTACTCTGGAAAATGATTTGCCACTTTCTTACAAAGCTAAATGCAATTTCCATATGACCCAGTAATTGTACACTGTGCATTTATCCCCAAGAAATGAAAATTTATGTTCACACAAAACTCTGTACAAGAGTGTTCACAGCAGTTTTATTTGTAACAGACAAAAACTGGAATCCACCCAGATGTCTTTCACCTTGGGAATTGTTAAATTGTGGCACATCCGTACCATGGAATACCACTCAGAAATAAAAAGGAACAAATTATTGGTATATGCAACAACTTGGATCAAACTTGAGGGAATTATACTGAATGAAAATTATACTGAGTTAACCCTGCAAAGTTCTAATCTTTACAATTCCATTTATATAACTTTTTATTTTTTTTTCATTTTTGAGACAGAGTCTCACTCTGTCACCCAGAGTGGAGTGCAGTGGCACAATCTTGGCTCACTGTAACCTCCGTCTCCTAGGTTCAAACAATTATCGTGCCTCAGCCTCCCAAGTAGCTGGGATTACAGGTGCGTTCCACCACACCCAGCTAATTTTTGTATTTTTGGTAGAGACAGGATTTCACCATGTTGGCCAGGCTGGTGTGGAGCTCCTGACTTCAGGTGATCCGCCTGCCTCGTCCTTCCAAAATGCTAGGATTACAGGCGTGAGCCATTGTGCCTGGCCATGTGTTATCAGTGTTTTAAAACATCTGCAATAGGGCCAGGCGCAGTGGCTCACACCTGTAATCCCAGCACTTTGGGAGGCTGAGGCGGGCGGATCACGAGGTCAGGAGCTTGGGACCAGTCTAGCCAACATAGTGAAACCCCGTCTCTACTAAAAAAATACACAAAAGCCAGGCGTGGTGGTGTGTGCCTCCAATCCCAGCTACTCAGGAGGCTGAGGAGAATCGTGTGAACCCAGGAGGCAGAGGTTGCAGTGAGCTGAGATTGCACCACTGCACTCCAGCCTGGGCAACAGAACGAGACTCCGTCTCATCAAAAAAAAAAAAAAAAAAATCTGCAGTAGGATTTTGTATTTTTTCTTTGATTAAGAGATTTTGAGGGTCTTAAAATACCAAGCATAATAAGATAGATGTTCAGCACAGGATTATGCTGTCTATCCATTTGTTTAAAGTTTACTTTTAATATACAGTGTTCTGACTTTTTCTCAAACAGGAATTGTATATTTCATGTTGTTTATTAGTGTCTACTGTGAAATGGAGGGGCGTGTCTTTACTTCCATCCCATCCTTAAACTATTTAGTTTATTTATTTTTTTAAATTTATGTTTTTTTTTTTTGAGATGGAGTCTTGCTCTGTTGTCCAGGCTGGAGTGCAGTGGCGCAATCTTGGCTCACTGCAACCTCTGCCTCCTGGGTTCCAGCGATTCTCCTGCCTCAGCCTCCCAAGTAGCTGGGGTTACAGGCATGTGCCACCACACCCGGCTTTTTTTGGGGTATTTTTAGTAGAGATGGGCTTCACCACGTGGGCCAGGCTGGTCTTGAATGCCTGACCTCAAGTGATCCACCAGCCTTGGCTTCCCAAAATGCTGGGATTACAGGTGTGAGCTTCGGCGCCCAGCCAACAATTCTTTATCTAAGGTCATCCTCTATGGACCAGAGAACTCTGGGAATTTCTTGCCTCTTGGGACCCAGAACCAGAGAAACAGCAGAGCACAGGGTGACTTGTGGGTTCCCACAATCAGAAGGCCACTCAGACCTGCTGTTTCCCACCCCTGACAGGCAACAGAAGGCCTCCAGGTAAGCCCATTCCTTCTCCAGATGCAACTGGGACTCTTCAGACTACCAGACAGGCTGCACCACCAGCAAAGGGGATGGATACAGGCGCCACACCAACAATAAGCAACCAGGGAAGGCTCCATATTCCTTCTGGGCCTGGGGCTGCCTTTTCAAAGGAAAAATATCTAAAAAGGCAGAACCTGCAAGAGAGGTGCAGCTACGTCAGTGTCCTGACCAAGGAAGGCCCTTTGTCCCTGCAGGTTTGAGATGGAGAGTCTCCTCCCAACCCAGACACAGAGGCAGAGGTGGTGGAATAGGTGAGGGGATACTGGGAAGAGGAATCCTTCCAACCCCACCTCACCGACATCTCCCCTAGCCCACCCCACCCCACCCCACCCCACACACTACCACAAGCCTGGTAAACCCTTCTGCACCCTCAGCCAGCACCAGCAGAGAGCAGTGGCACTAAATCCACTGAGGAAGTAAAAGCAAAACCTTAAAGGCTCCAATAATCAAACTATCATTGAAGCCTCCTCCCCAGTCCACAAAATAGTCTAAGGCCCACATGCCAAGCCCAAACAAAGTGCTTCCTTGCTAAAATTAAAGATGTAAATAGCACCTTGCATTACATAACATGACAGACAAAAGGGCCAGGATACAATCATCACACCAAGAGCCAAGAAAATCATGACTTGAATGAGGAAAGACAATCAACTGACCCCAACTGAAATGAATCAGAGGTTGGACCCATCTGAAAAGGATCTTAGAGCAGACATCTTTTTTAAATGCTTCAGTGATCATTTACAAATTTTCTGCAATCAAATGAAAACAAAATTTAAAATTTCAGCAAAGAAATAAAGGTTACAAAAAATGAACAAATGAAATTATGGAACTAAAAATACAATAATAGAAGTGAAAACTCACTGGGCACAGTGGCTCCCGCCTGTAATCCCAGCAATTTGGGAGGCCCAGGCAGGTGGATCATGAGGTCAGGAGAGCAAGGTCATCCTGGCCAACATGGTGAACCCCCATCTCTACTAAAAATACAAAAAAAACTTAGCTAGGTGTGGTGGCGGGCGCCTGTAGTCTCAGCTACTTGAGAGGCTGAGGCAGGAGAATTGCTTGAACCCGGGAGGTGGAGGATGTAGTGAGCCAAGATTGTGCCACTGCACTCCAGCCTGGTGAAAGACTGAGACTCCATCTCCAAAAAAAAAAAAAGTGAAAACCAAACATTGCTAGATTTTCTTAATATTAGAATTAATATTAGAATTGAAATGAGCAAGATCATTCTAGTGCTTTCCTTTTCATCCTATTATATTGTGTTGTTTTTAATTACAAGTTAAAAATTTTTTTATACAGCCATATTAATCTGTCTTGTTTTTTCTATTGCTTAATTCAAAATGTATTCTGCAGACATAGTGGCTGAATAAATTTAGAAAGAAAAACAAGATCCAACCATATGCTGCCTACAAGAGACTCCCTTCAACTGTAAGAACACGCAGACTCAAAGAAAAGTGGTGGGAAAAGGTATTCTATGCAAACAAAAACAAAAAGGGCAAGAGTAGCTACACTAATACAAAATACTTAGACTTTAAGCCAAAAACTGTAAAAAGAGAAAAAGAAGACCATTATGTAAAAGGCCATATCAAATAATCAATACAGCAGGAAGATGTAACAGTTACATATATTCATCCAACATTGGAGCACCTAAATATATAAAGCAATTATTAATAGACCTAAAGGGAGCAATGAAGTCTATATGAATTTTAAAAGTCAAAAATTGTATCAATTATCTTTTCTAACCACAATAGAATAAAACTAGAAATCAGTAACAGGAAGAATTTGGAAACTGTACAAATATGTGAACATTAATATGTTCCTGAATAACCAATGGGTCAATGAAGAAATTTAAAAAGAAATTTAAAACTTTCTTGAGAAAATGTAAAAAGAAATTTAAAACTAAAAATGTTGTTTCCATATGAAAATGGAAACACAACATTCCAAAACCTATGTGATACAGCAAAAGTAGTTAAAAAGCAAGGGGACAAAGTTAAAGTGTAGAGCCTTAATTAGTCTTCTATTTGCTTGTCAGTTTATGCAAGCAGTGTTAAGTTGCTATCAGTTTAAAATTAAGTTATAAAATAGTATCACAAGCCTCATGATAACCTCAAATAAAACAACACATAAAAAGGATACACACAAAGTAAGAAGCAAAAAAAAAAAAAAAAAAAAAAAAACCCATATCAGAGAAAATCAATTTCACTAAAAAGAAGACAGGAATAAAAACAAAACAAAACAAGACAGAAAAAAAAGGGAAGAGAAGACCACAAAACAACTGAAAATAACAAGATAGCAAGAGTAAGCCTTTACTTATGAGTAATAACAATGACTGTAAATGGACAGAACTCTCCAATCAAAAGACATACATGGCAGAATGGATTAAAAAATAAGACCCATTTATCTGTTGCCTACAAGAAACACACTTCACCTATAAAGGCACACATAGGCTGAAAATAAGGGGATGGAAAATATATTCCCTGCCAATGGAAACCAAAAAAAGAACAGAAATAGCTGTACTTATATCAGACAAAATAGACTTTAAAACAACAACTATAAGAAGAGACAAAGAAGGCCACTATTCAACGATAAAGGGGTCAATTTAGCAAGAGGACGTAAATATTGTAAATATTTAAGCACTCAATACCGAAGCACCCAGATATATAAAGGAAATATTATTACAGTCAGAGAGCTAGAACTCAATACATTTATAGCTACAGACTATAAAAAAGCTATATAAAAGACTATAAAAAGTACTATTAAAGCTGGAGACACCCCACTTTCAGTATTGAACAGATCTTCCAAACAGAAAATTAAGAAGCACTTAACTTAATCTGCATTATAGACCAAATGGACCTAATAGATATTTACAGAATATTTCATCCAAGAGCTGCAGAATACACATTATTCTGCACATGGCTCATTCTTAAGCACATACGATATGTTAGGTCACAAAAGAAGTCTTAAAACATTAGAAAATTTAAATAATATCAAGCATCTTCTCTGACTAGAAAGGAATAAAACTAGATACCAACAAGAAGAGAAATTTTGGAGACCATACAAGCACATGGAAGTTAAACAATATGCTCCTGAATGACCAGTGAGTCAATGAAGATATTAAGATGAAAATTGAAAACTTTCTTGCAACAAATGGTAATGGAAACACAATATACCAAAACTTACAATACACAGAAAGCACTGCAAAGGCAGAAATTTATAGCTATAAGTGCCTACCCTCAAAAAAGAAGAAAATCTTCAAATAAACAACTTACAAACTAGAAAAGTAAGAGCAAACTAAATTCAAAATTATGAGAAAAGAAAGATCATAACAGAAATAAACAAAATTGAAATAAAAAATACCCAAGATCAACAAAACAAAAAGTTGGTTTTCTACAAAGTTAAACAAAATCAAAACACCTTTAGCCAGGCTAGCTAAAAAGAAAGAGAAAATTCAAATAAAATCAGAGATAAAAAGGAGGCATTACAACGGATACTGCAGAAATTCAAAGGATCCTAACTTACTACTACATGCCAATAAATTGGAAAACCTAGAGAAACTGATAAATTCTTAGACATAAACAACCTATCAAGATTAAACCATTAAAACATCCAAGACCAGAACAGATCAGTAGCAATAACATTGAAGCCATCATAAAAAGTCTCCCAGTAAAAAAAAGCCCAGGAACTGATGGCTTCACTACTGAATTCTACCAAACATTTAAAGAACTAGTACCAATCCTACTCAAGCTATTTTGAAAAACAGATGAGGGAATACTTCCAAACTTATTCTATGAGGCCATTATTACCCTGATACCAAAATCAGACAAAGACATCAAAAAAGTAGACCAGTATCTCTAATTAATATTGATGCAGAAATCCTCAACCAAATACCAGCAAAGCAAATTAAACAATACATTGAAAAGATAATTCATCATGATCAAGTGGGATTTATCCCTGGGATGCAAGAACGGTTCAACACACAATCAGTGTGATACATCACATCAACTGAATAAAGGACAAAACCATATGATTACTTCCACTGAAGCTGAAAAAGCATTTGATAACATTCAACATCTCTTCATGCTATAAATTCTCAAAACACTGGGTACAGAAGAAACATACCTCAACATAAAAGCCCATATATGAGAGACCAACAGCTAGAATCATAGGGAATGGGGAAAAACGGAAAACCTTTTCTCTAACATCTGGAACATGATAAGGATGTCCACTGTCACCACTGTTACCTATCATAGTACTGGAAATCCTAGCTAGAGCAATCAGTGCAGCCCCCTATACCATCCCCAACCCACCCCCAGCCTCAGGCAATGCAGCACCCGGTAGCATCCCTAACCTGCCTCTGGCTGCAGGCATTGTAGCCCCACCCAACCATGGCTCACCAAACCCGCCCCCGCTATGGGCTGTGCCAGCAGCTGATAGTGTTCCCAACCCGCCCCCTGCTGCAGGCAGAGTAGCTGCGGATATGCACCTACCCCGCTGCTTTTCTACCACTCTAGCTGCAGTCTTCCTCGTGGCCACCAACTTCAGTGAAGCTCAAGCTCCAGCCTCCAGCCTGTGGCAGGGGCTCCCTCTTCTCCTGTAGCAGGGCACAGAGAAACTTCCGCTGCAGGCAGCCCTCCTACTGCTCAGGCAGCGCTGCAGTTTCCATCTTCGCCACCCACCACAGTGAGGTGAACTGTGGAACAGCAAGCTCCAGCCTCCACCTACCACAGCGAGGAGAGCTGCGGAGCCGAAGCCGCAAGCTCCAGCCTCCAGCATGCCGCAGGTCGGGCTTCCAAGCCCGATATGGACCAGCAGAACCAACAAACTCAGAAGAGCCTGGAATGGTCTAAGGCCGCCTTAGCATGCTTTATATACCAAGGTTCCTGGACTACATGTTCTGATTGGATGAGAGCAGATCTTAGGCTAACCAATCAGAACATGATAATAAAGTCCAATCAGAATAGGCTTAGAGGTTTTCTCTCATCCAATCAGAACATGGGTGGCCACGACAGAGACGGAAGTGTCGCCAAAGTGGTAAGACCTGGGCAAGGCAGTCAGAGCTGCTCCCTGCCCTTCTACAGGAGGAGAAAAGGGAGCACCGCTGCCACAGGCTGGAGGCTGGAGCCTGCAACACCATGGCTCGCCTCGCTGAGGTTGGTGGTGGTGATGGAGACTGCATTGCGCCAGCTGGGAGTGGTAGAAAGGTGAAGGCAGGGTAAGTGCGTATCTGCCGCTGCACTGCCTGGCGGTGGAGAGCGGGTTGGGGGCACTATTTGGGGCATCACTGCCTGCAGCGGGGGAGTGGGTTGGGGTGCTATCCAGGGCTGTGCTGCCTGCGGTGGGGGGCAGGTTGGGGTGCTATGCTGGGCATTGCTTCCCACGGCCAGCAGCAGGTTGGGGGCACTACTGGGTGCTGCAGTGTCTGAGGCGGACAGGGATTAGGGGTGCTATCGGGGGATACACTGCTGGTGAGTGGGGGGTGGTGTTTAGGGCACTATTGGGGGATACACTGCCGGTGGGGGTTAGGGAAATATCAGGCTGCACTGCCGATGGCAGAGGTGGCTGCCACAGTGGTGGTTTCCAGGGAAGGAGCCAGACTCGAGACTCCTGGTTGTGCTGTAGTGTGGCGGGTGCACAGCATTTCCATGGGAATCTAGAACACTGCAGGACCTCCACACCCGCTGTAGTGTCTGGATCTGCGTCCTCTCATTCTGTGTGGCAGAGACAACCTGGGACCCCCAGGCATGGAGTAGCAGGCACCATGGGCAGACAGGGCCCAGTGGGTGGAGGCATCAGGAATGGAAACTGGCACTTGAGTGTGGGGGGAGGTGGCTGGGTCTGAGTTTCTGCTGTTCCTGGTCCTGAGGACCGCAGCCCCGTTGCCCAGCAATTCCTGTGGAGTGGGTAGCCAGCCACTATGGAGTCTCCAGTCCCCACCCTGGGCCCCAGTTCCTGGCCCCTTGGGCCAGAGGAGAGGCTGGACTTTGGAGGGTGTGAGTGCCTTCCGTGAACCATCCCCTCCCACCCAGTGGCCAGCCTAAGGTGAGGCTTTGCTACCTCTCTCTCCATCCTGTTCTAGGCTTTTCTGGCTTTGCAAGCCAAGCTGCTCTGTGCCAGGAGGAGGAGCCCCTGCTACACTCTGGAGGCTGGGGCATGCCACACTGTGGCTCACCTCGCTGCCACCACCTGCTGCAGTGGGTGGCCGTGACAGAGACTGCAGCGCACTGGAGCAGTAGCAGCGTGGCTGATTATGGCCAGGGTCAGGGCAGGGATGTTGCAGTGGCCAGGGGGTAGGAACCTTGTAGGGTGGGCCGGTGCATTGAGGGCGACAGCAGGAGTGGTTGTATTGGCATTGGCGCTAGTGGTGGCAGCCCCAACAAGTCTGCGGTCAGGGAAGTGGGAGTGGGAGAGCAGTGGTGGCCTACCTGGCCTGGCGTGGGTAGGAAGCTGTGGGTGCTGTATCATGGGCCTCAGTGGCAGCAGTGGAGGCACAGCCAGGGTAAGGAGGAGTCCTTCCCGTTTTCCTGCAGAATCTGAAGTCTCTTCCTCCTGCTGACACCTGAGCCAGGTGTGAGTGGAGCCTTATTTCACTCTTTAACAAAACTGATGGGGTGACTAAAATTGGTGTATCTTTTTGCTTGTTTTTGTTGTTGTTATGACAAAGTCTTAAACTTTTTCAAATTTCTTCAATCAAGGAGGGGAATCAAGGTATCGTAATAGGCCTTCCGATTCCCTCACCTGTTCTTTTTCCTTTCTTCCAGTCTGTTTTTTTCTTTTTCTCATCATCATCTTCTTGTTCCTCTTTATTTGCTTATGCCGCTACTTCTATTTTTTGTTTCTATTCTTGTTTCTGCTCCTCCTCCTTTTGTTTGCTTTTTCCCAAGCAATGGCATTAACAAACAAAAATGGAGTTAAAAGTAATCTACTTGTCAGTGTGTTGTATTTTAGAAATAATCGGTCCCATTAATATGTTTTAGAGATTTGCATAATTCTGTAGTTACTTGAATAGCTATGCTTTCCTGATCCAGTTAATGCATTCTAAGTACTCAAGGAATTTTAAAAAAGGAATTGAAAAAACGATACAATATAGATTTGTTTCTTTAAAGTAGTCAATAAAATGCATAAACTTCTAGATCAAAAAAAAAAAGAGCTCATACTAAAGGTTGTAATACTAGGAATAAAATAAAGCTCAATACTGCAGGTTCTTAACGGCAAAAATTAATAAATCATTGTTTTTGGTTGTGAATCCTGGCCTTAAAACAGACACAGGATCCCCCCTTCCTTTTTTTGTTGCAAAGATGTGGTGACAAACAAGGTTTGCTCATGCAGATAATGCTCTTGAAAATAGTGGCAGAAAAATAACATAAAGGGAAATATAGTTCACTTAATGATCTCATAAATTGGAACTTAATTCTTCCCTGTGCCTCTTGCCTATCTCCGGACTAACATGTGAGAGAGGTGAAACGGCTGTTTGCTAACAATATTTTACTTGATGCTTCTTTTTTTAAATTCCTTGAGTAACTACTTAGAACGCATTAACCGGATCAAGAAAGCATAGCTATTATTTCTAAAATACAACACACTGACAAGTAGATTATTTTTAACTCCATTTTTGTTTGTTAATGCCATTGCTTGGGAAAAAGCAAACAAAAGGAGGAGGAGCAGAAACAAGAATAGAAAATTTTATTTGAAGATGACTCTAGGACAGTAATTCTACTGCCAGTTCTTCCTTAAGGTGCTAATGCCAGGAAACATCAGTAGAGGAGTGGGGAACAGAGACAGGAAAGGAATGCAGCAGTTAAAGGAAACTTCATCAAGAAAGTATCCACTGTGGCAGCCAGGACTCAGCCCGGCCGGTTTCCTCCAAGAGACAGCATAGAACATGTGCCTCAGAGTCATTCCAGCCAGAGAAAAGGAGCTGGGGTATTTATCCACCAATACCCACCAGTCACTCCTTGGGGTTCCTTTCAAGGGCATGATTCCTCCAGAATGTCCTGCCTGTGCTGCAAGGGTCAGACCTGGGATTGAGGGCAGGGCCCCTGACAGTGCCTCCAGCAGTGAGCAGGAACACAGCCTGGTGTGGAGAGTTTCAGTCATTCAGTGACTCCAACGCGCGTGTGCACACACACACACCACACTCCAACACCAACACAGTGCATATGTACATACACATACATGCATACATGACTGTTACCCACTTAGATCCTTGTGAATCCATGGAATAGAAACAAAAAATAGAAGTAGCGGCATAAGCAAATAAAGAGGAACAAGAAGATGATGATGAGAAAAAGAAAAAAACAGACTGGAAGAAAGGAAAAAGAACAGGTGAGGGAATCGGAAGGCCTATTACGATACCTTGATTCCCCTCCTTGATTGAAGAAATTTGAAAAAGTTTAAGACTTTGTCATAACAACAACAAAAACAAGCAAAAAGATACACCAATTTTAGTCACCCCATCAGTTTTGTTAAAGAGTGAAATAAGGCTCCACTCACACCTGGCTCAGGTGTCAGGAGGAAGAGACTTCAGATTCTGCAGGAAAACGGGAAGGACTCCTCCTTACCCTGGCTGTGCCTCCACTGCTGCCACTGAGGCCCATGATACAGCACCCACAGCTTCCTACCCACGCCAGGCCAGGTAGGCCACCACTGCTCTCCCACTCCCACTTCCCTGACCGCAGACTTGTTGGGGCTGCCACCACTAGCGCCAATGCCAATACAACCACTCCTGCTGTCGCCCTCAATGCACCGTGGAATAGATGATAAGGCGGGAATCAGAGGGAAGAGCATAATTAAGGGGAGTGAAAGTCTTGGGAACAGAATGCAAATTTGGGCAGAAAATGAAGGGGGAAGTGGAGTGGTCTGGACACCAAATGCCTGCTGGGTGGCATCTGCTCTACACAAACTGTCACTAATTCTCCAAGCAGCCTTGTGGGGTAGAAGAAATTTCCCTCAATTTACATATGCAGAAATGTAGTTCAGAAAAGAAAACTGATTTTACTAATGTCTCATATCAAGTTAGTGGGTGATAGATATGGACTCCCATATCTGTCTACAAAGCCTACAAATTCTCCCTTGTTAGGCAGGCTGGGCACCAGGCCCTGCTTCTAGGCTCCGCTCCTTTTCCTGCTAGTCAATAATGGCAGAATTGACAGAAACGTTATCCCCCTTCACCACCTGAAGCAGAGCCAATGAGAAGGGCTGGGGAACATCCATGAGGCCCTGCACCCACCATTCAATGTTTTCAGGATTGTGGTCCCTCAGGACTCTTGGAGCACGTGCTGGCAGCACTCGCAGTGTCTGGGTGTCTTGTGAAGTTGTACAGGATCTAGTAGAGGCCACTGGCTGTGCAGTCATATCCTAAGAGGCGGCCAGGCAGGTTTGGGCCACTTGGCTGCTTCAGCACCAGAGGATGGACAGCGCCCATGCATCCAGGCCCTGGGGAGACTGGGGAAAGGGAAAGGAAGGGCAGAATGGAGTGATATAGGGCCCATCTACCATGTCCCTGAATGGAGAGACCCCTGTTCTTACAGTAGTCCACAATGGGACCACCACTGCCACTAATGAAGATGCCAGCCTCCATATATGTCCTTGTCTGACAACTCCTTCCCACTTTCATCCTGGAAACAAGACCTCTGAACACACTAGCTTTGAGGGTACCTGAGTGTAACCTGAGATAGTTCCTGAAGACTTTTCATCCAAGCAGAATCCCTCCCTTGCCATCTCCAAACCTGCCCCACAAGCTCCCTCCCTGGTCTCTTGGCTCTTGTTTGCCGCTTCCACTCAGCCTTCTACAGTCATCTCTAAAACGTGGCTGACTGTCCCTCCTTTATCCAGCACCTTCCATGGCTCCCCAGAGCCCTCCAGATCAAGTTCAAGTTCTTTGATCAGACACTTGATCTCAAGCTGCATTCCACCTCCTGAATTAAGATCCCGGAGACGCCCACCTTGCCCAGCACAAGTGCATCACTGAAGTCCGAAGTCTTGAACATGGCCTTGGCCTTGAGGGTGTCACCAACACCCTGGCTAGTAAGGGTGCAGTGCTGCTCCACGATGATGGTGTCTAAAGTTGTGCACCAGGTCATAGGCCCTGCAGAAGTATCACCCCTCAGGAGTGAGGTAGCACAGGAAGTCTGTGCACAGGCAGATCTGCTGATGCCATTAAACTATGAGGGCATGGAACTCCAAGATGGTGGCAACATAATCACTAGAATTCTTGCAGAGTGAGGCTGGGGAGAGGAAGCAGCTGCACAACACATATGAAACCCTAGAAGCAGTTCCCAGCCAGAATCTCAGGACCACATTATATCCAGATACGGGTGCCCTCTGAGAACACTTCTCTCTCTGCCTCCTACTCTGAGCTGCCTCCTGGCCCCACATGCCCCAGCCTGGCCCAGGGCTTGGAGCCCAGCAGATGTTCCTTCAGTCCATGGTGTTGACTGCTCCCTGGGCCAGGAGAGCCCTTGGTGACTCTGTGACTCCTCCTGTGGAACCCCTGACTGTGCCTTGGGACCTCCCAATTCCCATGGGAAGCCCCCACAGCTCTGGATTGCCCCACCAGCCCCATAGGCCTTACTTGGTGCCTTAGCCCTCCCAGAACATGACATGTTTCTCAGAATGTGGTTGATGTCCAGGGCCATCTGTGGATGTTTGCTGGGGGCCTCTTGTTGTTCTCCTTTATGGTCTGTAGGGCAAGCAGGGCCAGAAGGAGAAACCAAGCCAACCTCAGAATGGACAAGCCAACCTCAGAATGGACAAAAGGCTCACTGCCACAAATGGTAACCACCAAACAGTCAGCAGTGCTTCTGGAAAGAAAGGTTTCATTCTGCAAAAATGCTCCTTGTTTGGCTTCTTTCTGAAGCCAGGGAAGGGTACCAAGCCCAGTTTACCTCTGGTGCCTACATTACCATCTGTGCCTAGGATGTGCGATGGGCCCCTGTTCCCACTGCAGGGTTGACGTTCCCTCCAGCTGGAGACCTGGGCTCCTGACACCGCCTGACCTGTTCGTCCTGCTCTGGATGAGGGTGGAAAGGCTGTACCTGGTATTTTCCTAGGTCCTTGGTTTCCGCCGTCCAGACATCCAGCAGCAGTGACCATGCCCAGCCGCACACCTCAAAGTGGACTCCCCTGTAGAGCAGCTGAGACGTCTACAGACAGAGGAGTGCCTGGTGAGACAGGCTGCGGGGTCTCCGGGGAGGACCGGGGGCCAGAAGATTCTGGAGGTTTCCAGTCTTGGGCTCTGTGGTTCCTCAAAGAGGTTAGGTTTACCTAAAACCAGGCCTCCCCTCCCACGATTCAAAGAGTTGGATGCGTGCTCTGCATCAGGAACTCTGATCTGGACCTATTTTTTCATTTAGGCCTCCAAGAGACAACCCTTAATCTCTGAGCTAGGGATGGCCCAAGCTCTGGCATGAGATTCTCTTCTAGAAACGTGATGCTTGCAGGGACAGGTGGAAAAACTGGTGATCAGGCCTGCTGCCCTCCGGGTAAGGACAGTGTGCCACCCACCCTCTGAGAGGCAGGTGGTGCCAGACCACAGCACTGGGTGCCTGTACACCTGGCTCTGCAGACACCGGTCATGGAGGTCCTCCCCTCTTCACATTATTACCTTCTTGCTGTTCCTAGACTTCTTCTAGTCATTAAGCACTTTGGGCCATTTTTCTGTGCATCTGATCTGACATTTTTGCTCTCAGATGGAATGCGATAAAGTAAGCCAAGCCACCAGGATTCCTGGAGGGGACCTGGGGTGCTGGGTCTTGGGCTCCAGGGCCCTGATGGGACTGAACTAGAAGGAGCCAGGGAAGGAAAAACACTGGGAGTGGGACCCTATGACCCAATGGCCATTGGTGGCCTGGGTCCCAAGACACCCTGTCCTCAGGCCACAGACACCATGGGCTTTGGTCAGGACCCAGTCTCCCAGTAGTGTCCTGGCACTAGCAGGTGCTGACCCCTGAGCCACAACCGCAGTTCTGGGTTTTGGGTTTGGTAAAACCAACTCAGGGACAGAGTTCTGGGGTTGGGTTTGGCAGAAACCATGGTGCCTCCCAGGGATGGTGTGTCACTCCTACTTGCCACGAAATGGCACACAGGCTGTCCCCCTGCCCATCCCATCCTGCTGGACAGGATGAAAGAATTCAGGGAACAGACAGGGTGGACATCTGGGGTGCAGCGAGAGGCACGTGCATGCTGGGAGGTCAGACCCTGCAAGGACTGCGGGGGCATCAGGTAGAGTGGGCTCCAGGTGTACCCTCAATGCACTGGGCAGGTCTCAGGCCAGGTTCCCTGGACCCCGCCTGGGTGATGTGGTCCCTCCCTGGGGGACTGCTGTCAGGCCCCAGCCACCCACCCTGGGCAGCACTGTCCCAACTCAAGACTAAACTTTCTGAGTCCTGAGACAGGAAAGTGCTGCCCAGGCCTGACAGACTGGGAGGACCTGTTAAGTCCTCCATCCCTAGACCAGCCTTCCACACAGCAGGGACAGTCTCCTACCTTTACCTTCAGGGCACTGACTGACCCATCTCACTCTAAGGCAACCAAGGCAGAGCTGAGGACCTGTGCCAGGCTAGGAGCCAGTCCCCCACCATAAATGCGCCTGAGGGAAGCACCATTCCTGTCTCAATCCTCCACAAGTTTCAGCCCAGGAGACACACAGGTAAGGGAGGACGGAGCCTCACTGCTGGCTGACACTGGAAAAGCTGGACCTGGGAGAAGAGGGAGCGCAGGAATGCCAGGGGATGCTCCAGGCCCATGGAGAGCTCGGGTTGCACCATGGGGCTGACACTCCTGGGCTGGAGGCTGTGCCCTCTGCAGGATCTGAGAAAGTCCAGACCTGAGATAGGACAGTGCTGCCCATGGTGGGTGGCTGGGGCCCGACAGCAGTCCCCCAGGGAGTGACCACATCACCTGGCTGGGGTCCAGGGAGCCTGGGCTGAGACCTGCCTGGTGCACCTGGAGCCCACCCCACCTGACACCCCCACAGTCCTCACAGGGTCTGACCTCCCAGCATGCACCTGCCTCTCCCTGCACCCCAGGTGCCCACCCTGCCTGTTCCCTGGCTTCCTTCATCCTGTGCAGCCCATAGACTGTGACCATCTCACCAGCCACTCTGGCCCTTCCTCCTGGTCCCCTTCTCCCAGGTCCCGCTTTTCCAGGGTCAGCCAGGAGGGAGATTCCATCCTCCCCTCCCTATGTGTCTCCTGGGCTGAAACTTGCAGTGGACTGGGACAGGGATGGTGCTTCCCTCAGGCCCATTTAGAGAGGGGACTGGCTCCCAGCCTGGCACAGGTCCTCAGCTCTGCCTTGGTTGCCTTAGAGTGAGATGGGTCAGTCAGTGCCCTGAAGGTAAAGGTAAGAGACTGTCCATGCTGTGAGGGAGGGTGGTCTAGGAATGGAGAACTTAACAGGTCCTCCCAGTCTGTCAGGCCTGGACAGCAATGTCCTGTCAAAATCTCTGAGCAGGATCTCCCAGGTCCATCCAAACACCTGCTTTGTCCACTTTTGACTGGGTCTATGGGCACCACTGGGCCATCCCAGCTGTCCACAGGGCCCTTGATAATGTGCATTGCACCTGACATCTCCCAGCAGTGCTCAGTAGCCCCTGCTGACCAGGTCCCTGCTGACCAGATCCTGCACATCAGGTCCTCGCTGATTAGAATCCCATGACCAGCCCCACTAACCAGGCCCCCAGTGACCAGGACCTTACTGACCAGGGGCTCACTGACAAAGCCTCACTGACCAGGTCCCAGTGATCAGGTCCTTACTGACGAGGCCTCACTGACCAGGTTCTTACTGACAAGGCCTCACTGACCAGGTCCTTACTGACAAGGCCTCACTAATCAGGTTCCACCGATCATGGCCCCACTGCCTGGCCCCACAGATGAGGCCCCACTGACCAGGCCTCCAGGGAACAGGCTGCCACTGACCAGACCCCTACTAACCAGGCCTGAGGTGACCAGATGCCCCTGACCGTGACCCTAGTGAGTAGGACCCACTGAATAGGCAACCACTGCTCAGATCCCCGCTGACCAGGTCACCCCATAAACCAGTGCTACAAAAGCCACCACTGACCACGCACGCTCTGAACAGGTCCCCACTGATTAGGTTCCACTGACCAGGCTGCCCTGACCAGGGCCCCACTAACAAGAACCTCACTGATGAGGACATGCCCTGCTGACTAGGTCCCATGTGACCAGCCTCCACGGAATAGCACCCCTTGACCTGGTCACCAGTGACCCAGCCCATGCTGACCAGGTCTCCACTGACAAAGTCCCACAGCCCAGTTTTACACTGAGCAGACACCAAACAAGTGGCTGCCACTAGGTCCCTACTCACCAAGACCCCATTACTAGATCCCCCTAATGAGACCCTCTCTAAGCAGACCCCTGCTGACCACGCCCCCAATAAATAGGCCTCACTGACCAAGTCCCAACTGACTAGTCCACTGACCA